GCGTCCGGGTAGTCTGGGCCCAGCTGCTCTCGATTGTTGTCGGTACTCGTGGGCGGCGGGGTCGGTGGCATTCAGCGAGCAGAAAATTTTGAACGTAAATTGTGACACTGCTTTCTCTCTTTCCTTTTTCCCGAGACAGCCAAGGGTATCGTACAAAAAAGGGTATTATGAATTATAGGAATTCTCCACTATCGATATATTATTGAACTTTTCTTTCTATTTTCTTGTTCCGCCCGTTTTTCTCTCTTTCTTTCCTCTCTTTCCTCAACCTCTACCGCGATTGCCTGCCACTGTCAGAACCGCACAAGTGACGGAACCCCCCGACCTGGCCAGTCGAGTCAGATGGGCCCTCTCCCCTTCTTCTCCCCTTCTCGCAATGAAATAATAACCAGTGCAAGGGAGGAGGGTCAACAGATACGTGAGAGGGGAACAAAACGGTGTGAGTGAACCGGAGCCCGTAACGGAGCGACGGCCAGGGCGAATTGACAGGGTACGGTTCTAATGGGGGCGAAAGAAATGTATGCACTGACCTGACGGAACTCGTACGAGAGACGTTGCTTACGACACAATATTTGAGCACACAGTATGCGTTACCCTTTTCCCTCTTGTCTCGTTCCGTCCGTCCGTCACAGTCACAAAATAGGAAAGGAAAGATGGGATCAGGGGTGAAAGAGACAGCCGTAGGGATATGGGTGATGAGATGGAAGTGAGTGTGCGTGATGACGATAAAATTGATGGAGGGGAAAGGATGAAAGGGATTCTACAACAAATACAGTAAGATTGGGAACGAAGAATGGTCTGATGAAGTAGGGGAGATGGAAAAATAAGGGCGCAGAAACACACCCAGATTAAGCACTGTAGAACCGCTCGCAACTATCATGCCAACCACCACCACCACAAAGTGCACGACAGGGTACCCTGATTGCAGCGCACTGTGGCCCTTCATTACAAGTATGATAGCGGCGCTACCACTATTAATCTTCCTGTGTCAAGGCTGTAGCTCGATCAGCAGCCAGGGTCCAAGTGCTCGAGTAGTGTTCTCTGGGCCAATCTTAAACCCTCCTGCTCCTACCAGTTTCTCCCTCATACTGGGCTCTGACTGGCTGGCGCTCCCTAGCTTGCAGTGTCGCTAGCTTGGATCTCGATACGATCGAGACATCCACGAGACTAAACACCAGGAGTTTTTTGATTGGATCCAAATTAACCCACGATATAAGTAAAACTACCCAGGTAAAATGTTCAAAATTCACTCTGAGCCCCCCCCCCCCAATCTATTGCTACAGGAATCGGGTGAAAGAAACAGCGACAGGTTGAATGCAGCGCTCCCACTCGAGTGTACCGCCCACCTTCCCCCGCTAATCAGCTATCCACAGGGTTTAATACCCGCCAGTGTTCGAGCTGCCGTTATGCTTGGTTGGGCATCAGCAAACAGGCCGTGGTTGGTTGGCCCAACCCGGCCGTGTGCTCACCCTTAACTGTGGCTTGTGTGATACCGCTACCATGTTCCCAATCGAGCATCAAACAGATATACCCGCAGGATCTCCGATTCATTCACAGCAATCCATACACGTTACCTCACCTCTCATTGTGTGACACA